GGGAGAGCAGGCTGTTTCCCAGGAGGGTCCCCGCTTACCCCCAGGATGTGAACGCGGTTGTAGTAGGAGCTGAAGTCCATGCTCAGGTGGATCAGGAACTTGCACACCTGCCATACAAAGCAGAGCCGCTAGAGACCCTCCTTCCCACGGGGGGTGGTCAGGGACCGTGTGCACGCTCCCTGCTAGGTGGCCGCACAGTGACACCCATCCCAATCTGCCTAGTCGATCACCCCATTGCGGTCCTTCCTCTCTCCAGGCCATGGGCCCCTACGTCCAGCACTGCCTGGCTGGAGCTAGCAGCTCCACACCCGTCTCCTCCCTGGGGCTAGGAACGGGAGGTCTGAGAAACGCGGGGCTCCTGCTGACACGTGCTGGGTTCCCAGAGGAGGTGCTCTAGGGAGCAGCCTGGGGCTCAGTCCCAGCGGAGAACCACAATTAGAGGCTGGCTTGTACGACTGCTTTAAACGAACGCCCCAAGGAGCCCAGCAGAACAGGCGGCTAGCACCCTGCCTGTAACAGCAGGGGCCAGGGCCCCACGGTCACCCACTCCTGCACAGCACCGTGGGCCTGGCCAGCTCAGCAGAGGCCAAGGATTGAATGGGCCACAGAGCATGAGCTCCTTTTGCTCTCAGCAAGGCAGCTTGTGCTGCTGCCTCCATTGGACCTGGGGCCGGCCTGCCTCTGCCTGGAATCATTCCTTCTCCGTGCTGTTGAGGTGATGGCCAGACTGCTGGGGTTATCTCCTCTCGGACAGTCCCCTGGGGCAATGCCCTGGAGACTAGCTCCCTGTTCTCCACTCCTGCCCGGTACTGCCCCTCCACACTGCTGGGCCTGTCAGCCTGGGACACCCATTCGTCCCTCTCACTGCTGCCCTGTAATCAGTCCCTCCCTCCATGAATTAACGTGTAAGGGCAGCATGCTCTCCTGCAGACCCCGCTCCCGCCAGGCACAGTGCTGTGCCCCCGCAAGGCAGCAAGGGCTGCAGCTGTTCGGAAGAGGGTTATTTAGCAGCAGCCAGGCTTAGTCCCTGCAGGCTCTCACTTGTCCTCCCTGCACTCCTGTTTGCCAAACTAATTTGCAGCTTGTGTTAGGTCAGACTGAACTCTACAGGGCTCAGAAGGCCCCGGTTCTGACTGGGACCTCTAGGCACTGCAGCCGTATAATGAACCTCTTCAAGAACAGTGGCTCTAGCGCCAAAGCAGCCCTCTCCAGTGCCCCACAGACAACCTGCAAACCTCCAGCCGGGAGCAGCCCTCGCACCCGCCTGGGGCTCTGTCCCCAGCAAGCCAGCTTGGCCAGAGCCCTCATCGGGGGGATAGCCTGCAGATCTCACCGCCTCCGTGCTGGCTGTGATTCGAATCCCTTTGCTGGAGAGGGGCAGTTGTGCTGCCTGGCTCAGGGTCTCTGGGAAGGGAAGGATGTAGTTGAACAGCAAAAGCCATTCGCCCTATGGAAGGAATACAAATGTCAGTCACCTCCCAGCAGCCTCCGGAGCTCTCTCCCCTCACCCCATGCCCAGCTCGGGTAGCTCCACTGGACTGGAAGCCCGGGCAGGGGAGGACAGAGCCGTCAGGCCCGGTGAACTCCGGGCTGTCTGAGATTCCAGTGGCCCAATGGCTCTGACCCCTCCCAAATACAGGAGGAAATGGCTGTGGGCGGAGTGAGGATAAGCTTGACTTGCAGCCCTTCCAGCCATGGGTCACTCACCTCTTCTCTGAGCAGGGAGAAGTTCAGTTCTGATGCTGGGGGGAAGGCCGGGTATGCACCTGGAATAGAAGTTCAGCGCCCGGTTACACAGCTGTGGCAGCACAGATCCAGGGACGAGCCGCGATTGGCAGCAGCTCAGAGATGGGCAGGGGTTTGATGCCTGGAGGCACCTGGCATAAAAGATCCTTCCCAGCGAGCAAAGCTGCCTCAGCCGCATCATCCATGGTTCTTGGTGCTGTTTCCAGCCCACTGCAGGGGGAAGGCTTCCCCAGCACCTTCCTGCCATGATGCTGGGGCCCTTGGCCTGAACCCTGCTGTGCTTGGTGTGTGGGCCGGGCCTGCCTGGCTTGTTGGACCCCACCCCTTGGAGCGGCTTTGTCAGACTGCTTGTCGCAGGCCCATTCACAAAGGATTTTCTCTGCCTTCTGGATCAGTCAGACCAAGGGCTACGAGTCCGTCCACCCTGAGTCCCTGGAGCCTCTCATGGGCCCTGACGAGCAGTAAGGCCCAGCCTGGCCGATTGCTGCCGTCGCTCCCTGAATTGGTTTGGGGCCCGAGCGGAGCAGTGTGTCCTGGCACTCACCTTGTTCCACAGCCTGCTGATATGTTTTGAAGAGCGTAGCAAGCCGAGCACAGTTGTACATCACAAAGGCTCCGCTTTTCGTCCCCTTTGTGGAGATGCTGCTGTCCTCCAGGTCGAGGATAATCTGAGGGGGGAAACCAGCTCCGTTCCGCTCTCACTTTTCCCTCAGTGGTCTGCCCCGCAATGCCTACTTCCTCCCTGTTCCCATGAGCCCCTGCACACTTCCCCTGGTGGGATCTGACCCTGGCCTTCTCTTGGGGGAAGGAGAGTTGGGCAAGTACCAGGTCACACCTAGGCCCCCCAGATCATTCCCACGTTCCAAGCAACAGGGCTCCTGTCCTGCTTTTGGGAGACCAATGCATGGTCTACCAGAGCTCCCTGCTAGCAAAGGATTCCTGATCATCAACCTCCATTTGCCTTTGCTTCGTTTCATCCCTTTGTTCGTAGTCGCACCCTGACCAATTCCTTTCCCTCCCCACGTTAACCTCCTTCAAATGCCTGCTCCTTAGCCATTTGGGAGCCCACGGGAGAGCTGTCTAGCTCTAACCTTTCCTCCTAAGCCTCTCCTGACCCATCCCCATTTTTGTTACTTGTCCCTGAGGTCCCTCTAATTTGTCCCCCTCCTCCTGGTGCCAAGAGCCACACCCAAAACCAATGCTGCACATGACTGTCAAGAGACTTGCTGTTGCCTTCTTGCTCTGAGTTTGCAGCTCAGAATGGCTTGTTCCACTACAATATCGCATTAGAAGCTCCTATCTAATTTGCTGTGTTATCTCCTAGGTCTCTCAGGGTCACAGCTTCCCGGGTTCTTGTCTGTCTGAGTCCTTTCCCTGAAATGTACTGACTGCCTTTTCCCACATTTCCTGGCTGGCTGTCCTCCCTGCATTCCTAGCCCCTCTAGACGGTGGGATGCTGCTCACTCCCTGTGGCCCCTCTAAGGCCAAGGGGCCAGCATACACAGGGATTGCCTCTTAGTGACCAGGAAGGAAAAGCAACATGGTTCCTTCTTGTGCTTACCTGACTCTGATGGGCTGTACTCAGCATTTCAAACCTGATGGCAGCTGATGTCAAGACGCTGATGATCTCAGTCCAAGAGTCATCTGCGCAGAAAATGTGGCAAAGAACATGCAACTAGAAGTGCCCGGCTGAGCCCACCAGCCATGCCCCCCCCCGCTAAGCCTGCACACTCCCTAATCAAACACCATGAGCAGGGCCCTCGTGGTCATCGCTGGGACAGGTCTCTCAGCCCCAGTCCACTTCTTGCCAGAAGAGGAGGGCACGTCGGGGGGGCAGCCCAGCCGCCACCTGGGGAACATGGGCTTTGCGAGCTTAGTGCAGGAGACTGGGGTACGTCTGTGGGGGCCAGCGCCCCCTCTCTCCACATGCCATGCTGGCCTGGCTGGGGATGCTCCCCACTTCTCTCTCCATCAGCATACCTCAGCCCTGTCCAGGAGACTGCCCCGGGGGCAAGAGGGAGCTTGCTGGCTGTTGCTTGTGAAGCGATTGGTCTCTGCTGAGGCCCCAGCTAGTAGCCTGGTGATGGTGGTTTGGACGCCTCCTCACCGGACGACCACCCTTCCCGGAGGCTCAGCAAACACCCATCATGGGAATGACTTTCAGTCCCTGCTGATCTGGGCTGGGAGAACCGAAAGGCCGAGCCCTGCAAATCTGCTTGAAATCCACGGACCATGTTTGCGGCTCGGAAGGGCTCTGAACTCTGGAAAAAGCAGGCCTGCGGCAGCGTGGTATAGTGCTGCCGGGGAGAGAAGAGCCATGACTCCTCCAGCAGCTAATTGCAGAGGCAGGGCTCTCACGCCTGAGCCTTCACACACACACACAACAGCCAATGTGCAGCAGGAGGAGCCGCGGGTGCCGCTAGCCCTGGTGAGCGGCTGCCTGCACTAATGCAACCTGCGGGCGAGGAGACTCCAGGGGCTGCCTGGTCTCCTTGGGCCAATGAAGGTGCAGCAGCAGGAGGAAGCATCCCCTGGCCAAGCAAAGGCAGAAGCCTTACCCTGAACAAGGTCTCCATACTTCATGACCGAGGCTTCGTACATCTGGCACTTGCGGAGCCTGGGAGGAATAAATGCAGTGATGCAAGAGAGCCCAGGGCTATCGTCCCCTTGCCAGCTCTCAGCTGCACTTGGCACCGCCCTGGCCCATCAGAGTACCATGGCAACGCCCACCCAACAGAGCTGGGGATCGGACAGTGTCCAAAAGAGCCACCCAGCAGAAAGGGGCACTCTTATTGGCTTGCTGTAGCAATGAATCCCCCCCTTGGTCACATCTCTGCCCACTCCCATTGCCTGCAAGGGTTTTGGCTCCAGCTCTGCCAGCCCAGAGAGGCTGGGCTAAGAGACCAGGTCTCGTTTCTCTTGGGCAGCAGAGTGGCAACCCAGCAAGCTGGGACCGGCTGTGAAAACAACCTGGGGCAGAGCTCCGTGCAGCAAGGACAGCGTCAAACTGAAACCAGCTCCCTGAAAGGCGGTGTTCCTGACCACGCTGCCAGAGACTGGGCCCCTCTGCTACTGAACCGGTAACATGGGACACTGCTTCATGATGTGAGGGCAGCTGGGCCTTTGGTGCACCTCATCGAGCTGGGCCCCTCACAGGAAGCAGAAGAGAGGAGGTCCGAGCGGCCTCTCTCGCCTTTCAATGGCTGAGGAAATCAGAAAGCCGTTGATCAGAATCCTAAAGATGCAGCCCTCTTTCCTGCCCCGGTCCCTGGCTGATGCACTGACGCAGGGATCGGCAGAATCTCTGGCCAGAGCAGAGCAAGAAATGGGGGCAGACAGCAGGTTGGATTCGCGACTGTCCATGCCCAGAGATGCTGCAGTGAGCTGTCAATCCAGCACCAACATCCCGGCCTAGTACTATCAGGCCTGCCTGCTTCTGTCCTCACCTCCCCACAGTGTCTTTGCAGGACAGACGTTGTAAGAAGGGCTTCCCCTCTCTTTCCATTTCTCACCGCATTAACCAGTGACCCCACCCCAGAGCACTAGCCCTCCACTGTGCAGGTGGTGCAGAGCCAAGGCCTGC